CCCCCCCCGCCCCTCCGACTGCGTCCAGTGCAACGAAGAGCTTGACATGGTGCTGTCGAGACTCGAAGCAGAGGCAGCCCAGGCCAGGAACACGGCACGCGTACGGGCCCAGCAGGTTGCGGCGGAGGCAGCAGCTACGCAGAAGAAGGATCTCGAGGCGGCTCAAGAGCTGGAGACGAGGGCCATGGAGAGGTTCGTTGCGAGGGGGGAGGGGGGGCAAGGGGTACCCGCTTATGACTTGTCTGTGTTCATCGGTTATTGCTTTGGTCAGTGACCACGCATACGCATCGAGGCAGAGCACATCTACTCCTCTCACTTTGAGACGAAAAATCTCACGCGGGAAGTTATCTTCCTCCATGTTGGCGTTTCGTGGCCACAAACCACCACTTCGAATGGGGTTCCCTGTCGAGCGTGCCAAACGGACCACGCGCCACGTTCCTCTCTGGCGCACGCGCGCGCCCAGGCTGGGGGGGGACCCTTTTCCGTCGCTCTTACTCCACCTGATTCGACCCACGACTGCCCGCCCATCCGGCACGGACCGACGGAGGGGGAGGGGGAGGCACTCCGTTTCAGCTTGCCTAAGGTGGTTCGGAGATTGACCACGCCTCCCGTGCGAGCCGATGGCAGGGGGGCTGGTGGGCGGAGGGTGGTCACTAGATCGATCGCCGACCAATAGACCGAAAGACACCGTTCAACGCTCCTGTTCCTGCGAAGAGCCCAACTCAAGCCTGGGGTATTTTTTGCTGTCATGTATCTGGGAAGCGTATGCCTCAAACGTCCATACACACTTGGGCGGGTGGGAGGGGATCCTTGAACGGAGTGACTCCACCCAGGGGTGTTCCTGAAAAAAAAGTCTGACCGAAGACGCTTGATATTTGGCGTTTGAGGAATGATTCTTGCGATGAAATTGTGCGTGTCGTGGCAGTGAAGAGAGGAGTCGTTCCAAGATGGCGGTAGAGTGATGGCGACGGCGTTTAGTCATCAAGCATGGCACTGAAGACGTTCGTTTGGGGGTTTTGTGTGATTCAGGAAAACAGCCACCTCTTTGACGCGCTTCACAGCACAAGGGTCATATAGACCTCCCCAGCGTTCTGCCCGTCGGCCCGTTTGTCTGCGTGGTTGTTTGCTTTTCTGCCTCTCCCCCCTCCCCCCGCCCCCCTCCGCACAACCGCGGACGACCTTCCCCCTTCCGCTGTGTGTCCCAACTTGCTATCTTAGTTTCTGATGAAGTATGGGTCACATTTTTCCAACCACAGCGAAAACTTTAAAGATTCACCACAAGAACGCTGCAGCTATGCTTCCCGTCCTTCCTGCCTTCCTCGTCCGTAAAGCTACACATGCCCCGTCCCTTCTTCTGTATGTGTTAGGGGGTTACATCACTGCAGTGTTGTTGGCATAGAACAGAGGACTGTGGCCGTACATGACAATGAACACCCCACACCAAGCCTTGCCACCGCCAGCGTGTGTTCGTGAGTGGTTGTTTGCGTGTAGGCCTGACGACCTTCGCATGTTGGTTTTCCGTGGGCAAACCGGGAAAAAGTCAAACATTCTCACGAACAAAAACGCCACAGGTATCTGGATTGCGCCCGGCGGCAAGCGGAGCTAGAGTCCGAGACGAAAGGGATCGAGCAAGAAATCAAGGCCGCGGAGGAGCAGATTCGAGAAGACACTGAAAGGCTGGCCGTGGCGGAGCAGCAGGCAAGAGAGAGAGAGAGGAGGGCGGGCGGGGCTGGGGGGGGGGAGAGGGAGACAGAGAGGGAGACAAAGAGGGAGACAGAGAGGGGGAGGGAGCGAGAGGGGCGAGCAGAAAACAGAGGAAAGCAGAAAGAGAGGGAGGGGCAAGCATACAAACAGAGATAGAGACGGAGATGGAGAACTTTGTGCAAAGCGCGCCCCAAATGAGGCTGGGGGACGGGCCACCCCCTTGGTTCACTGTTGATTTGCGTTACATCTCCAGCCGTGGTATGAATCAGCGAGTGCGTGGCAGTGTCGTAGCACCTCAGGCGCCGCACGGGAGGGGGTGGCAAAATCCTCACTGCTCTACAACAACGCCCCCACCCTCTTCTCCCTCCCGCGGATGTTTTCGTTGTGCTGGTTTGTTGGTCTGTGGGTAGACTGTTGCTTCTCACACCATAACAATTTCCTGTACTTCCTGTCCGAGCAATGTCGTGGGCACGTGAAACATGAGCATGCTCCTTTCTTCACGTCGTGACCACGCAATAAAGATACGCTGTGATCAAAACACCTTACATGGTGCCACTTGAACAATAATCGGGTTCTTTCTCTACGGTACCACCAACACAAGAGAGACGCGGTGGTGCCGGCATAATAGCGACTCGGGCGGCATGTTGTCATACATACATCGAGGGAAACCATAGAGCACACGGTGAGGGGTGCAAGAAGCAGCACGGTGACCGTTATTACAGCAGGGGGCGATTCTTCACAATGTGTCAATCGACGACGAGGGGCGGGGGGTGGGGGGGGCGGAGGCGGAGGCGGCGATAAAGCACCGCCTATGCGATTCTACTACCAAAGCACGTCAGCGAACGGCGTTGTTTCCTACATGCATGCACGATGGTGTTACATGTCACGTGAAAGTCGCTTGCTTTTTTTCTCGGCACGCCCAGCTCGAGGAGGGCCGCGAGAGGTGGCGGAGCCGGCTGAAACGGCTCCAGGAGGAGTGCTCCGAGGAGCGCAAGGCCGCCAAGGAAGAGGTGTCCCGCCTCTCGGAGAGGGCGGAGGGAGCGGAGGCGGCGGCGAGGCGGGCGGCGGGTTTCCGAGAGGACGAGTCGGCCGGGCTGAGAGCCTCCTTGTCGGCCGAGTTCGCACAGGTTTGTTGCAGTTGGTGATGCTGCCGTCTTGTTTGTTGTGGTTCTTGGTCTGTTGTGCCTTGGCTCCGGGGGGGGGAGGTTCGGTCGAGCCGATTCTTCGCCAAACGCGGGCTGCCGCGTGTGTTGAGTCTCCCCAACAGTTTGTCGCGGGCGCTTCATTGGAACGGTCTCACACACACAGCTTGCTTGACTCTCCACCCCTCCTTAGCCGTGCCGCCCCCCCCTGTTTCGTCTAACGCCCACCCTCCGTTACCCGTGCTTCTCGCATGTTGGTCATTTTGGAACATTGCCGCCCCCCTCCTCTTCTTACTCTTTCTTCTTTGGTGGCGGTGGTGCTGTGCCTCGGATTGTAATTTCAGGTGGAAGGTAAAGTCGCGGCGGTCCTCAGCAGAAAAACTGAGCAGGTGGGTGAACGGACGGATGGGTCGGTGCGTGGTTGTTCTAGGCTGGCTCGTCGTCGGCACGTTGATTGCACGAAAATCGTGGGAAGCTCAACTCTCGACAACAATGGACAGAACGGAGAGAGAGAAGAAAGCAATGATGTTGCGAGGGGGTGCAAAACGGAACAGACAGGAGACAATGTCGCGCCAACAGTCTTGGCGGAGTCTGATAGGAAACATAATTTGCAAAGTTTTATCTCCCTCGAACTCGTGCATAGCGACGAAGATGCCAACGTGGCATCAGATGCTCTCAAACGTCGGGTGCTACACACATGCCTTCGTGTGTGACCCGAGCGTGATGATCACTTAGCGCCGTTGCCTTTTACTCTCATGGGCAGTTCTTTCATCTCTGTTGGTGATGCGTGCCTCCCTGGTTGTCGAAGTGTATACATGGTTGTTGGCTGTTTGCTTGTTGGAATCGTGGGCTGTTCTTCCGAAGTCTCACCAGACCAGCTGTCAATGTACCAGCAGCAGCAGCAGCAGCAGCCGCAGCAACAACAGCTATTTTTCAACCAACCTCGACCATGCCCGCAGGCGAATGCCCTGAAGGAGCGCCTGAGTTCCTTACAAGGCCAGACCAAGGCCCGGGAGGAGGAGCTATCCGATCATCGACGCCGGACTTTCAGCTAATCAGGCTGGCTGAAAACACACAAAGAAAAGTGTTGTAAAGACGTCACGCATGGTGGTGGTAGTCGTCATTCGTGTTGGTGCTGCATTATGTCGAAGGAGACTACACCAGACCCCGGATCTTAACCGCGGGGAGAAGAGAGGCTCCCGGCTACCGCGCCTGCTGTAAGAATAAGGCTCTAGCGTATATGTTGTTCGAGATGCAGGCACAAAACTTTGAAAATGAGGGTGGCGGGTTGGTTGTGTCCAGCTCCCGCGGAACCTCACCCCCACAACAGGCTTACAAGAAAGCAAGCGCGTCGTTTGCTTGTCGGATCGCCTTCGTTGAGTTTTCGAGCGCTGTTGAGTAGCGCATCCATCCTCCAGGCCCTGTGTCTTGCTAGATGCTGTCTGACGTGCACCATCATGGTACAGTGCAGAGAGAGCGTGTGTGGACACCAAGGGCTCCCCGAGCAACGCACCACGAAACAAATCATTCCGCGATGCCGGGTTGGAATCCCCAAGCCCGTGCAGGCCGTAGTCGTGAGATCGTTGACCTCGCATCCCTACAAAGCCGGGACGGAGCACCCCGGGTTCTCACCGGACCAGGCGCGCACATCACCAAGCGCGAAGCGCCGTGAAGTACTCGGCGGAGGGGGGAGGGGGGCGAGCGTATATTATGTTCTTGTATTGTGCAGAACGTGCCACCACTGCGGTGTGTAGTTCAGAACTTGAGAGGGTTCAGATTCTATACAGTCTAATGAGAATAGGACCCTACACTCAAAGCTATTTACAAAGTCCCTTTGAGTGCGTAAAAAGTTGGAATAGAGGAGCAAGCCCTCGAGCAAGGCGTGTTTACTGCTGCTGTTGGTTTGTGTCGGTACCGTTGCCTACATCCTTTTTTTTGCATCGCTCCGTGGACGGGGGGGTGCAAATCAATCCGATTGACGAACACAGACCACACAACGACGACTCGATCCAGGCGCATGTATTGCATGTACGTGTGCCTTAGTTCGTGCTTCTCTACGCGTGCCAGCTTATGCCCCCCCCTCCCTATACTGTTTTCACCAGAAAAGAAGAAGTCGATTATTAGATGATGTACCTCCCTACAGGCGTCTCGACGGCAACTAACTGGGGTAAGGATATCAAAAGTCGAGATATAGTCTATAGTCTAGTTCTGTTTAACCCCAAATTGAACCCCAACCAATGCGTCCAGGATGACGACGAAACTTATTTGAATGATGAACACATGCGGCGCGCAGCATGGAGGAACCTTCTCGCCCGTCCTCTCTCTCCCTGCACCGCAGATTGGGTGTGGTCGATTGTTTCTACATATGCATATATATGGACACTGCCGTTTTTCTCTTCATACGCATTGTCTATAATAGACTGTAAAAAACAAAGGTGTGCACATGTTTATTTGTATCTTTATACCGTCGTCGCAGACGGATATATTTCTGATGCCAGTACAACAACTGGTGGTGCAATCACCCGCTCTCATGTCTCTGATCTGCAACGGGCAATAAATCTTTTCTTTTTGCGACGGCACACGTCAGTCACGTTCAAATTATGTCGTCATCAGGCGGCATCGTGGCGCTTGGCGATTATTCCTCCGCACGCTGACCTTTTCCTTTTTCTGCCCGCTGCATCCCACACAACTCACGGCTCTCTCACTCACACCCACCAGAGCACACTTCCAACAACTCTGGCCCTCTGACTGAGCAGCAGACGCACCGGCCTTTGTCTATCACACAGTTTCCATTTCCCTTTTTCACCTTCGTACCGCCGTACTTCGCACATCAAGAGAGCAAGCACACGTCAACACCATGGCTGCCCCACCTCCGCCCACGACAACAACGGTTGCTGCGCCAGCGAACGCCGGCTCCGCCCTGGCTCGCCGCGCGCTGAGAGAGCGGCGAGCCCAGCGTCAGGCGCAGGCCTCGCAGTTGATGCTCTCCTCGAGGCGCTGGGTGGCCGCCGCGGTGGCCTCGTCCGGGTGCCCTTCCTTGCAGCACGTGCACCTCGAGGAAATGCGACGCAACCTCATCGCGCGTCGACGCGGGTACCAGATCCAGCAGCAGCAGCAGCAGCAGCGGCAGCGGCAGCGGCAGCAGCGGCAGCAACAGCAACAGCAACAGCATCACCACCACATCAACGCCCCTTCTTCTCCTGGCCTATCCGCCGCCGTGAGCGCCGCCGCCGCAGCACCGGCAGCAGCAGCAGCAGCAGCTGTACCGCCTGACGCACACCTCATCGCGTTGCTGAAGAAGAGGGGCCGCACACCCAAGGCGATCGTCAGCTCGGCGGAGGCAGGGTACAGCGTACCGCCAACCGCCAAGCAGATCATGGACTACGACGCGCAGCCGCACCTGAGCGGGCTCGCCAGGACGGGCGACATGGAAGGGCTGCAGAGGGCCGTGAACGCAGGCAGACGCATGGTGAGTTGGTGTCACACACTACGCACAGCAGGACGACGTTGTCGTCGTCGTCGTCGCTGCCGCGGATTTCGCTTTTTTATTTAGTTAATGGATTTTTTTGGGAACGGAACTCGTTCTTCTCGACGATCGATGGCGGTGACTGGTTCTGCTGGCTGCTGACGACAGCGCGCGGTACATGTTAGTGCAAACGCACCGCCGCCACCGTTGCCGCAAGTGTGTGTGTGCCCCCGCCGCAACTATCCTTCTACAACGCATTTTTGCTACGGCCGAGAGGAGTTGACGTTCGTTATCTGTTTCGACCGCGCCAAAACATTTACTGGTATTGTACATCTGTGCAGGATCTCACACGTGGAGGTTTGAAGTTAGATGGGATCTGAGATCCATTCGGAAAAACCCGCGAACGAACGCTCAAGGGACCAATAACACGTACGGTCAGGAGCAAACTCTAGAGTCTGTAAGCTCGTGGGAATAGCGCGCGTGTCAACATGTTGCAGCCCCTCGTGCGTGCGTGCGCTCGTTGTTTGGTTTGTTGTCGCTCCTATGGTCTATGCACCGCTACCTGAAACTGGAGAAACACGACCAAGACCAACTGACACCATCGGTTGTCCGGTAGATTTTCCGGCGACGGTATGTACAATATGCCCATGTTGCTAGATCATCCATCAAACCAATGACCTCTTCCCACAACCACTCACCCTGCCTGTGGCCCAACCTCCGAATTAACTCCACGGTTCGATCTACTTGTGCAACCCTCTGTTCTATCTGGCGATGCTCATCTTTTTTGGAAGCAGCGGGACTTAAATGTGAACGGCAAGCTGGTTGGGGTTTCATGCGAAACGTGACCTTACCTCTGCGTCGTCGTCTTTTTTTTTCTTGTCCACGTCAAGCCGCCATGCTGATGTGTTTGCAGAAACTGATGTGTTTTTCCTACACACCATCGCGGATATGTATCCTGAATAGTCCAGCATAGTATTTCTCTTTCTTACATATCGAAAGGATGTACCCTGCGTGTGTATCTGTAGGTAGCTAGCCTGTGGTGACCGCGTCCCTGCGGGACCAGCGGTACACGTGGTGGAAGGTGACCGGGCAGAGAGCATAGCTCTTGTTTCCTGTCTGCAACTACCGCTCCTGTTGTTTCCTTTTTGCATCGTGTGGCGGCTGATAGCGCGCGCTTTCTTTCCCGACGAAAACTCATGTACGACTGGCGCCCGCGCGAACACATCGATCCTGTGCAAGAAGCCTCTGAATCTGAAACAAGCGAATACAGCAGTAGCAGCACCCCTTGTTTCAGGTTGGCCTGTATACACGACGTCACCACCACCTTTACTGAGAATTCGATTGCCACAGGAAATAAATAAAAGATCGTGAACCGCACGCACCACCAGTAGTCATGAACCCTAAGCATTTTGTTGTGTACGCCACCGGCCAAATAAGGAAGGGGGTATACTTTGGGCTCTAAGTGTTCTTAGGCGGGGCTGCGGCCCTATCAGTTGCTTGGCTCCCAACGAGGCACGTCGGGGCCACTCCTTTCCGCTTCCACAAACGCCCACGGAGTACCTCCGTATCGATTCAACTGACGCGGACTTATTACGCAAATCAAGCAATCGAAAGCATCCTCAAACCCTCGGCAATGTACATATAGTATGCAACAACAGAGCAGTCGTGTACAGAACTTGCATGGTGGCCTGCCCATTTTTCTACCCGCCTTTCCCCGTTGCGAATCAGTTATTCAATATGGCAATACGTTAACAATTTTTTGACCCGCCTCGTTTTTTATTTTTTCCAATTCAATGATACGCCCAGGATACTTTGGAGCAACAAACCATCCCGCTGCTGTCGCTCAATAACTTACTTATCCCTCCTCCTCCTTATTTAAAAAAAAACAGGATGCTTGCAACAAGTATGGCAAAACGTTAACAATTTTTTGACCCGCCTCGTTTTTTATTTGTTCCAATTCAATGATACGCCCTGGATACTTTGGAGCAACAAACCATCCCGCTGCTGTCGCTCAATAACTTGCTTATCCCTCCTCCTCCTTATTTAAAAAAAACAGGATGCTTGCAACAAGTTCGGCGAGTCCGTCGTGCACGTCGCCTGCCGCCGCGGCAACCTGCCCCTCCTCCTGTTCTTGGTGGCCAACGGCGGCTCCCTCACGGCCTGCGACGACCTGGGCCGCTTCCCGCTGCACGAGGTCTGCTGGGCGGCGCAGCCCCGCTTCGACATCGTCCGCGTGTTTCTGGAACACGAGCGGGAGACCAACAACCGGCGTCGCCAGAGCAGCAGCAGCAGCTGCAGTAGCAGCGATGCGACCACAGTCAGCGGTGCAAGCACCACCACCAGCGATGGCGAGAGCACCCGCTCCGGAAGCGACAGCATGGCTGACGACGGCGACAACAGCAAAAACAACAACGACAACATCGTCGTCGACCTGAACATGCTCCTGGTGACCGACAAGCGAGGCTGCAGCCCGCTGCGCTATGTGAAGGAGGAGTCATGGCCGGCTTGGCGGCAGTTCCTGGACGAGGTGGTTGACGAGTTCTGGCCGTCCCTCGTTTGAGCACGCACGCACTCACGCAGCAAACGAAATAGCTGTACAGCTGCTGTATTTTGTTATACCATGTCGTCTAGGGAACATCGATATACATAAGGAAAAGTTAAGCCACCGTATCGAGGAAACGGGGCTACATCACTTGCGGGATTGGTGCTACGGGGCACGGTGTTCCCGGGGAAGGAAATTAGCGGGGTGGGGGGGGGTTCGGAGGCCGAACCGTCGCCGTTACGAGAAAACACGTGACAACAACCTTCCAGGTGCTTGGCGGGAACAATTTCCGGGTGCTGGGAGGTTGGTGCGCGGTAGGACTCCTAGAGGCAAGGGTAGAGGGGGCTCGAGGGGGGGGGGCTGAGAAAGCGGCCGTGGTGTGAAACGGACCAAGAAATACTTTTCTGTTTTTTTTTTTGTGTCTACCTTTGTCTGCTTGACCTTCTTCTCTGTATTAAGCGTCGTGTTACTTGCTCCCCATTGTGTTGGCGAGGCCGTCTTTCTTTTTTTTGTGTGAAGCCGAGCCTGTTATAGCGGATTGTCTTGGTGTCTCCTACTGTTCTGTGAGTGCAATGCCTGTTCTGTCGGCTGCATCACGCGCTACTTTGTTGCGTCGCTTGCTTTCTGTAGGTTGTTTTTTGTTGCTGTGAGCACAACTGTGATTGTGGGTAGAAGCTGGTCTCGGTTGTGTGTGGTTATGTTTGTTGCCCTCGCGTAGTCAGCAGTTGGACCATATATCGTTTAGTCCGCGTTCTGGGACACCGAAGAAGGTACCACGCTGCTACTGCGCATGTTTGAAGAGTGTGATGGTCTCACGCTTTGATTCACGTTCTTCTACATTATGGTGTTAAATAAAATTGTGGTGGTGACGTGTACTCGCGGGGACCCGTGGCAAACGTTCCCTGGACTGTACCTTTCGTTAGTTCGTTTTCTTGGCGCGGGAAGCCGTAGGGGCGTTACCCGGGATTGTACCTTGTTCGTTGTTGTTGTTTTCCTTAGATCGTGTTTCTCTGTAGCTGGCTGGGCGCTTTGCGCACCCAGTCGCCGTCGGAGTCAAGACTGGTTTGCTGCGATTTTCACGGAAAGAGCTACTACTCCACAAAAGGAGCGTGTCGTTGTCGTCGTCGTCGTGTACTTTTTTTTTTCTTGATGACGCGACGTGCTATTTTTCCGCGCACAGGAGACGCATGTTGATCGGGGTGTGTCGTGTTCGACCCTTGTATTCTGGAGCCAGGTCTCCATATACCTTTCGGCATGTATCTGACATACGTATTTATCAGCTCGGGTCACATACACCCGGGAAGAAGGTAGCAAGTCCAGTAGGGATTTATTTGTTTTTTTCCTTTTCAGTAGGAGCTGTGTAGAAGGAGCGGTGGTGCAGCATGCAGACACCGACGAATTGAAGGGATATGAAGAGTTAAGAAACCAAACGGAATCGTCAAGTCACAAGCACGAATACATGCGGAGCACGCCAGTACCATTCTTTTTATTCGGCTGCTGCTGCTGCTGCTGCTGCTGCGGTGTGTTTTAGCCAAAATGTCGATGGTTGGAGGCTCCACGCACTCGACACACGAAGTGCCACCCACACACACAGTCGCCCCGGTGGTCTAGTGGGTAGCCTCGCAGCCTGCTAAGGGCCAGGTCATTGGTTCGAGTCCCGGCAAAGAGAGTTTTTTTTCTCACTAAATAAATCCTGGTCTAGGATGAAAGCGACGCGCTGCAATGCTCGTTTGTCAGTAAACCATAATCGATTTCGTAAGTCGCGAGGGAAGGGATTGCTGTACCCTTCTCGCGATAAAAATACCTCAGGCATGAACCGCAGGAGGGGGTCCAACCCCCCCCTCCTATGTGACCCCGGTTGGGTCGTCTAGCTAGTAGAAGTGGAGGATAGGGACCAGAGGGGCAGACGACAGAGTCCAATAATGGGAGAAAAACAAACAAACAAAACAAACAGCAGTGGCTTAGCCTCCCGCATGACGCCCCCTCACGGGGTCCCAGATCATGGTCTTTTGGACCGTCTTCAACCGCACCGAGACTGACGACGTATCTTCACTGGTCAGCCGGTTAGCGCGGTCGATGCAAACAAAAAAAACAGACCCGCCACAGGTGGCAGCTCGGCGAGCACACCGAGGAGACCTTGTTCCTTGTGTAACGCCCTGAGTGGAGAGATTTGTTTTGTACTACAGCAGTACTCGGAGTTCAACTTTCGGGTATATAGTGGGAACTGCGGAGACCTGTCCTATCAATTTTACACTTTATTATGCCTCGGTGGGCGCTTGGATCGTGCAAGCAAGTCCTCGACGCCTACAAATACTCCCGGGGCTTCCCCCACTCTCACCCTGCCACACAGCCGTAATTCTGCTGGTCGATCGGCGTGAGCAACTGCCCTCCCTCGTGGATGTCTTCCCACGCCACGTCCCTTCTTGTAGAAAAGCTCAACTCGGGAAATTTTCCGCACTCTCGCCCTTGCTACATCTTTTGGTGTCACGTCCGCTGGTGGGCGGGCGTGAGCATCTGATCCGCACTACGCTCGTGGTCGCGCCACCTGTCTCAAGCGGGCGTCGAAGGAGGACCCCCCCTGCCAACACCACCACTCTTGATTTCTTCTTACACACGGTAGAACACAACGACGCCGCCTCTATCCACCGACAAAAAGAGTCCGCGACTTTTGTCCTACAACAAAGCGTTGTGCCCTCATCGTGTGTTCGGTGTCAAAAACCACCACACTACTGCTGTACAAGAAATACAAAGAGAAAGCCTAGCCGAAATTGGCTCGTCGGGCTTCGAACGCCCTGCTGCGGGTCCCCGCCAAGAGCTTCGGCAGGGCAGCCCTCCCGACCTTAGGGGAGTCAGACCCGTCGCTGACGTCGACGCTGCTGCTGCCGCCGCCGTCCTCGTCGTCGTGTTCCTCCAGCGGCATCTGAAGCCTGCTGCCGCGGGCGCGAGTTCGAAACATCCCACCGGACGGCGGCGCGGTCTGTTGTAGTAGTAACCATCACACAAAGCGCGCGGAGCATGTTTGTCGGGGGGGGGGGGGTTCCTGGTTCT